GTCTGTGTCCACTCGTAGGTAACAATTCTGTTGTGTCCACTGAGTAACAATTCTGTGTTGTCCCTGAGTAAAGAACAATTCTGTGTCTCACTGAGTAACAATTCATGTGTCCATCGAGAGTAAACGATTTCTGTGTGGATCTGAATAACAATTCTGTCTTGTTTCCACCTGAGTAACGATTCTGTGGTCCCTCAGTGAACGATTCTGGGTCCCTGAAGTAAGTCGATTCTGTGTCTGTCCCTGAGTAACAATTCTGTGTGTTCCTGAGTAACAATTTCTGTGTCCCTGAGTAAACAATTCTGTGTCCCTGAGTAAGTGGATTCTGTGTCCCTCAGTAACGATTCTGTGTTCCCTCAGTAACGATTCTGTGTCCCTGAGTAACAATTCTGTGTCCCTGAGTAACGATGTCTGTGCCCATCTGAGTATCAATTCTGCGGTGTGTCACCTGGAGTAACAATTCTGTGCTTTGTCCCTGAGTATACGATTCTGTTGTCCCTGTGTAAACGTTTCTGTGTCCCTCAGTAACGATGGATCTTACATTGTCCCTGAGTAACGATTCTGTGTCCCTCAGTAACAATTCTGTGTCCCTGAGTAACAATTCTCGTCGTCCCTGAGTAACGATTCTGTGTCCTGAGTAACGATTCATGATGTCCCTCGTAGTAAACTAATTTTCTGTGTCCCTGAGTAACAATTTCTGTGTCCTTTCTGAGTAACAATTCTGTGTCTGTCCCTGAGTAACAATTCTGTGTGCTTCGGAGTAACGATTCTTGTCCCTCAGTGAGTAACGAAATTCTGTGTCCCTGAGTAACAATTCTGTGTCCTGAGTAACAATAATCTGGGTATTGACTGTGTCTGTCCCTGAGTAACAATTCTGTGTCCCTGAGTAACAAATTCTGTGTCCCTCAGTAATCGGATTCTGTGTCCCTCAAGTAACAATTTCTGTGTCCCTGAGTAACAATTCTGTGTGTCCCTGAGTAAAAATTCTGTCAGTGTCTGTCCCTGAGTGGATCCCAATTCTTGTGTCCACTGGAGTAACAATTCTGAGTCCCTGAGTAACAATTCTGTGTCCCTCAGTAACGATTCTGTGTCCCTCAGTAAACAATTCTGTGTCCGCTGAGTAACAATTCTGTGTCCCTGGAGTAACGATTTCTTGTGTCCCTGAGTAACGATTCTGTGTCCCCTCAGTATACGATTCTGTGTCCCTGAGTAACAATTCTGGGTCCTGAGTAACGATTCTGTGTCCCCTTCAGTAACAATTCTGTGTCCCCGAGTCTAAAAATTCTGTGTCCCTGTAGTGAGTAACAATTCTGTGTCCCTGAGTAACAATTCTGTGTCCCTGAGTAACGATTCTGTTGTCCCTCAGTAAAATTCTGTGTCCTGAGTAACAATTCTGTGTCCCTGTCCCTGTAAAACAATTCTGTGTCTGTCCCTGAGTAACAATTCTGTGTCCTGAGTAACAATTCTGTGTTCCTGAGTAACGATTCTGTGTCCTCAGTAAACAATTCTGTGTCCCTGAGTAACAATTCTGTGTCTGTAACAACCTGAGTAACAATTCTGTGTCCTGAGTAACAATTCTGTGTCCCCTGAGTAACGATTCTGTGTCGCTGAATAACAATTCTGTGTCCTGAGTAACGATTCTGTGTCCTCAGTAAACAATTCTGTGTCTGAGTAAATTCTGGGAGTAACAATTCTGTGGTGTCTGTCCCTGAGTAACGATTTTTCTGTGTACCTGAGTAACAATTCTGTGTCCTGAGTAAACGATTCTGTGTCCCTAAGTAACGATTCTGTGTCCCTATAAAGTAACGATTCTGTGGCCCTAAAGTCTCTGTGGCCCTAACTCTGTCCCCTTACACAGAGGTCTGTCTCTCTTGAATGACCGGAGGCTAATGGAGAATTCTAGATGGCCGCGATTTATAGCTCACCACATTACACAGTGCTGGCTGGCTGGTTGCTGATTGGCTAATGCGATCACATGTCATGAATGAATGCATTATGGGTCAGCGCGCCGTACTTTGTCTGCGCGCCTTTCCCAGAGATCCCCGCTCCGTCACCACACATGTCGCCGCCATTTTTGGGAAAATTCGATTCGTGCATCCGAAGTTGCTAATTTTTCGGATTCGGCGCGAATTGAATATTTTTCCTAATCTTCGAAACGAATTCCACTTCGTCATGTTCGATTCGCTCATCTCTACTACATACTTTTGCTAATAGGTGTCCTCATTCCATCTGAAAAATTTGGGAGGTATGGTTTAGTGTTGAGGGAGGATATTATTAGAGTTGGTGTTAGGTTTAGTTAGAGTGAGAGCTCGGGGGTAAGGGTTATGCTGGGGCTTAGTACAGTTGAAGGATAACTATTAGTGCAGGCTCAGAGAAGGAAAATATTCTTTATGCACCAAGCATCGAGAGCCTCATGCAAGAGTATTTAGCACAATGCAACTATGTAAGAATCCTTGCTATACTTAAAAATGTATGAATGAATTTATGCTCCAAGATATGAATTTTCACCCATCTTCTTCATGACCTCACTTCTAATTACAGCATTTTATTTGAATTTAAACATCTTTTTCAAACAAATTATAATGCAAAAAAACAAAACCAACAATATACTGTATACAGCAATGGTCAAAAATTCACGGGGCATGGAAAAAGTCATGGGACTTATTCATGTTGGATAAAAGGCAATATGAAGTTGTTGCACATAAGAACATGCTCAGGGGCGGACTGACAACTCATGGGGGCCCGGGCAATGGGGGATCATAGGGCCCCTGTGTCCTTGCCCAAACTCAAAAAAAAGCTATGAAAAGGGTACCAGGGGTATCTCATGGGGCCCCCCTACTGACCCCGGGGCCCTCGGATAGTGCCCGAGTTTCCAATTGGTCAGTCCGCCCCTGAACATGCTAGACATTTGTTATCCTTTTCTAAAAAGGTGATAGATGGAACTATGGATGAATAGCAAAGACAGTACAAATCTTCCAGTTTTAATTATCCGATGCGTTAGTCACAAAGTTACAAAGCATAAATGTTTAACACAGACCCCCTTGCAAATCAGAAACAGTTGGTGAGTATGATTGTACTAAAACAGCCTGCACTGTGTGTGTTACATAATTCATGCAGCCCCTTCACACAGAGCTGTCAGAGTCTGTTTTCCAATGCTGAAAATATGCAAGGACCTATTAGTTATTCCTCTTAATATAGCTTTGTTCATGGACCGAGCATTGCAAATTATTGTATTTATTACCACCGCTGAGTCATATTCTAAAAATATCACACTTGGTCCAATAAATCTCAGTCAGTGCTGTTCTAAATAATCCCAATGTTTACATTCTTTCATTAGCCTAAATAGCCATATAGAAGTATGAACCAGCAAACACAAATGCTCCTGCGCTTGGGGATGGACTCGATGCAGGCTGCAACCACATTAAGAATGTCTGGAACATGCACACCTTGCTGCCCTCAACAGACCGGGGGAATCCAAATATACTGAATGAGGAAAGAACAAACAGAGGGCGCACAGGCCTAGTGCATTACCATAAAAAATGTTTAATAAGAAATAAAATATGTGTTGTACTCACAAACGACAATAAAGTCAAGGCACATCATAAAAGAACAGCTGGGTCAACACCGTGCTGAGTAACAGTCCGTAATGGGGAATGTAGACATCCAAAAGGCTGATGCGTTTCCAGGACTTGTCTCTCTTCCTCAGAGCCCTCTGAGGAAGAGGCAAGTCCACGAAACGCGCGTCAGCCTATTGGATATCTACATTCCCCATTACGGACTGTTACTCAGCGCCGTGTTGACCCAGCTGTTCTTTTATGATGTGCCTTGACTTTATTGTCGGTCATTAGCCATACAGAAGTATGCCTTGGGTTTTAGGCCTTGTCCACATTAAGCAATTTGGAGTCACTGGCAGAATCTCTGTGATTATGCCTGCAATTCCAAATTGCGGCTAAACATGCAAAGCGCATTTTGGTGCCATTATTCTTAACAGCACCCTAAATGCAGTGCGATTTTGCTGCGATTGTTGCATGACAGAACCGCATGGCATAACTTGAGTTTAAAAATCATGCTAAGTCTGTCACCTAAAAAGCAGCAGGAGCTTGTTATGGGCAACAAATGCGCATAGGGCAGCCCATTGAAGTAAATGGGATGCCCTATGTGTGACACGCGGAAAAGCATATAAATCACGTTTTCAAGACCACAAGCTTTAACTCTTATTACAACAACACAATGGGGTTGATTTACTAAAGGAAAATAGTCTGTGCACTGCAAGTGCACCTGCTTTATGTCTGAGGGGAAGCTCTGAAATCAGGCGAAGCTCTGCTGATTTCTTTCATCCAATCATGTGCAAGCAAAAATGCAATTTTTTCTTTTCCTTTCATGTTCCCCTCAGATCTCAAACAACTGCACTTTCAGGTCACTTGCAGTGCACAGCTTATTTGCCTTTAGTAAATCAACCCCAATATCTGAGTGGGGCCTCATTCAGAAGCATCCATTTATTTTTATCCTATTTCTAATTAGCTCAGTACAAATCTGTCTGCTTTATATAGAGAGATGTCACTTATTTGGGCCAAAACAGTCTCTCTCTCTCTCCCTGTGAGAAGAGAGCAGGGGAAAGGGAAGAGCCACACTTTGTGTTTCTATGAACACACACAGCGCCGCTAGTGGATTTGTACCTGCACTCAGCAAGTGGGAGGAGCCAGGAGACCCGAGAAGGGGGGAATTAGGGCTGCTCTGTACAAAACAATTGCACAGGGCAGGTAAGTATAACATGTTTATTAACTAGTTGCCGACCGCAGATAGCCGAATGACGGCTACACTGCGGCCGGCCAGTTCTGAGTGGACGTCATATGACGTCCTCCCAGAACGCGCTCTCCTCCGGCGATCTCCGTTATCGCTGTGTCCTACGGACACAGCTGATCACGTGATGTGGTAAAAGGCCAATCACAGCGGCCTTTTACCACGTGATCAGCGGTGTCCAATGACACGCTGATGAGAGGGAAATGCAAGTGCCGGTTTCTCGGCTGCACTTTCCTCACGCTGTCAGATCATGAGGAAAGTACTGCCGAGAACCGGCAGTTGTCAGAGCGGGGATCAGCACCGATCATCAGGGCACTGATGATCAGTGCCCTGATGATCGGTGCCCCAGCAGTGCCACCCGCAAGTTCCGCCCACCTGTGCCCAGCAGTGCGCCCACTAGCTCCGCCCACAACCCGTGCCCAGCAGATCACCCACCTGTGCCCAGCAGTGCACCCACCTGTGCCCAGCAGTGCCACCCACCTGTGCCCACCCACCTGGCCCCCAGTGCCACCCACCTGTGCCCACCCACCAGTGCTGCCCCACCAGTGCCACCCACCAGTGCAGCCCAGCAGTGCTGCCAGTCAGTGCCACCAGTCAGTGCCCAGGGGTTGTGCCAGTCAGTGCCGCCAGTCAGTGCCCAGCAGTGATGCCAGTCAGTGCCGTCTATCAGTACCCATCATCAGTGTCACCTATCAGTGCCGCCTATCAGTGCTGCATATTAGTGCCGCCTATCCGTGACACCTCATTAGTGCTGTCTATCAGTGCCGCCTATCCGTGCCACCTCATTAGTACTGCCTATCAGTGCCCTTTAGTGCTGCCTATCAGTGCCCATCAGTGCCGCCTATCAGTGCCCATCAGTGCTGCCTTATCAACGCACATCAGTGAAGGAGAAAAAATACCTGTTTGAAAAATTTTATAATAGAAACAAAGAAACTTTTTTTTTTTTTTTTTTCAAATTTTTTTTGCACTTTTTTTATTTATAGCGCAAAAAGTAAAGTGCCCATTGGCAATTAAATACCACCAAAAGAAAGCTCTATTTGTGAGAACAAAATGATCAAAATTTCATATGGGTACAATGTTGCATGACCGCGCAATTGTCAATCAAAGTGCGGCAGCGCTGAAAGCTGAAAATTGGCCTGGTAAATAAGGGGGTATAAGTGCCTGGTAGGCAAGTGCTTAATTATGTTTTTTTTAATTACATTTTCAATCACTTTAAAATGTGCTGTTTAAATGTAATTTTAGCTATTTGAGGCTACAACGCTCTTTGTAGGCACTAATATTAACCCCAGTGACCAGAGTCTACAAACTCAGGAAAACGGCTGATTTTACTATAATCTCTCGAGATTATAGTAAAAGATCAGTTTACTAAGCAGAGGTAAATTATCTCTGCTTAGTTTTCGGTCCCTCCGATTCTCCAGCTCTGGGAATCTGGAGGGACACAGATCTCCAGAGAAGGGCTGAACATATTCTCCTGGGTGTTATAAACTGTGAATGACCAGAGAATAGCTGTGATCCTCTGAATCTCAACTATTCTGTGTGTCATAAACGGACACCTAAACTGGAATGGCAATTGGAAGTATGCCTGATTATGTCAGGTGGGGAAGGTGTGACACATATTCCAATGCCAAGGTAAGGAGCTACAGCTGATGAGTGTTTCTTCTGCCTTTAGCAGCCCCATTCTCTTAAGGCCAGCAGGATTACTGGTACTTGGTTGCTCCCAGGTCATAGAAACACAATGCTATAGTTCCTGGCCAAACAGCAGAAGGACTTGCATGGAGTGAAATCTAGGGACAGTTCTAGGCCAGGGTAGCAGTGTTGCCAACCATCAGTATTTTTACTGGTAGCCAGTAAAAAATTGGCACTTTTCTCCAGCCAGTGAATGCCAGTGACAGGAAAAGGTTGCCAGTTAAACATATGGCTGTGATGCTTGGCTTGGAATTGCACATGCGCTGTCCCAGTCCGGAGCCTACCAAGACCATCTGAGTGCCTGCTACAGTGTGTTCGAGAGGGGGCAAGTCTGGTGGAGGTGGTGCCTGAATATGTCATGTGATTTCATAGTGAAAGAGATCTGAGTGGAGCAGCCGGAGCCTCATGTGCGGGTCTGCGGGACATGAGCAAGGCAAGCCGGGAGCGAGACTGTCAGTGTTGTTTGGACTGGAGTGGACTAGTGGAGAGAGACTGTCACTTTGACTCAGGAGGGGACGTGTCATGTCAGTAAAGTGTCATCATCATCTGTACTGCTGCACACTGCTGTCTGTGTCACTTTGAGAGTCAGTTCATGTGTGTGTGCCTGTCCATTCAAAATTCTTGCCCTCCTGAGTCCTGTTTCTGAGCTACTTACCTAATATAGTGAAATAAAATAGGAAATATTTTTTTCCCTTAATGTCTACCTTAAATCATATTGCTGATTGAATATTGTACTTGTTTTTAGTCTAAATACTGAAATATGCACTTAAAACTGTAATTTTGTAACTTTTGAAAATGCCAGGAAAAACTTGTCTGTGCCAGTAAAATTTGGATGTCGTGTCAGTGAATTTCAATCTGGTAGGGTTGGCAACACTGCAGGGTAGACAGCTAACATGCGTAATTCATTAAATAATCTGAGGTCAAGTCAGGCAGCAATCCAAAAGAGTAATCGGTGTACAAGTCAGGGGTCAGCAACAAGGATGCAATGACAATTAGCACAGCAGGCAGGGTACAACAGGAAGCTAGGTAGCAGTCTTTATCACAAGCCCAGAGCCCTGAGCTTCTGATGCTTAAATAGAGTACTGCATCCAATAAGGCTAGAGGGGCATGATCAGGCAATGCAGCAGGGTTGACTAGCAATCAGTGACAAAAAAGGTTTTTTTACTTGTGAGCCACCGACTTAAAGGTATATACAGTTGCAAGAAAAAGTATGTGAACCCCTTGGGATTACGTGGAGTTTTGCATGAATTGGGCATAAAATGTGCTCTGAACGTCATCTAAGTCACAACAATAGAAGAACACAGCCTGCTGAACATAATACTACACAAACATTAGATGTTGCCATGGTTTAATTGCACATAACATGTAAACATTCACAGTGCAGGGAGGAAAAAGTATGTGAACCTTTGGACTGGTTGACCCTCCTTTGGCAGCAATAACCTCAACCAAACATTTCCTGTAGTTGCAGATCAGACCTGCACAACGATCTGGAGTAATTTTGGACCACTCCTCTTCACAAAACTGTTTCAGTGTAGCAATATTCTTGGGACATCTAGTGGTGTGAATCGCTCTCTTAAGGTCATGCCACAGCATTTCAATCGGGTTGAGGTCAGGACTCTGACTGGGCCACTCCAGAAGGCGTATTCTGTGCTGTTGCAGCCATTGTTTTGATGAATTACTTGTATGCTTTGGGTCATTGTCCTGTTGCATCACCCACCCTCTGCGGAGATGGTCGTACGTTTTCCTGCAAAATGTCTTGATAAACTCTGGAATTCATTTTCCCATCAATGACAACAATCCGTCCAGGCCCTGAGGCAGCAAAGCAGCCCCAAACCATGATGCTCCCTCCGCCATGTTTTACAGTGGGGATGAGGTTTTGATGTTGGTGTGCTGTGCCTTTTTTTCTCCACACATAGTGTTGTGTGTTCTTCCCAAACAACTCAATCTTGGTTTCATCTGTCCACAGTATATTTTGCCAGTAGTGCTATGGAACATCCAGGTGCTCTTTTGCAAACTTCAAACATGCTGCAATATTCTTTTTGGGCAGCAATGGCTTCCTCCGTGGTGTCCTCCCATGTACTCCATTCTTGTTTACTGTTTTCCTTATTGAAGATGTGTCAACAAAAATGTTAGCATGTGGCAGAGATTTCTGTAGGTCTTTAGCTGACACTCTGGGATTCTTCTTTACCTCATGCAGCATTCTGCGCTGTGCTCTTGCAGTCTTACCATGGACACATGAACATCAAGGCTTTTGGAGATACTTTTGTAACCCTTTCCAGCTTCATGCAAGTCAACAATTCTTGATCGTAGGTCTTCTGAGAGCTCTTTCCTGCGAGGCATGGTTCACATCAAACAGTGCTTCTTGAAACCAGTAAACCCAAAAAAGGTATGTGTTTTTTAAGGGCAGGACAGCTGTCAGCAACACATCCAATATCATCACACTGATTGGAGTCAAGGTTGGCTCACTCCTGGCTCCAATTAGCTCTGGGAGAAGTCATTAAGCTAGGGCCTCACATACTTTTTCCTTCCTGCACTGTGAATGTTTACATTTTATGTGCAATTAAACCATGGCAACATCTAATGTTTGTGTAGTATTATGTTCAGCAGACTGTGTTCTTCTATTGTTGTGACTTAGATGACATTCAGAGCACATTTTATGCCCAATTCGTGCAAAACTCCACGTAATCCCAAGGGGTTCACATACTTTTTCTTGCAACTGTATACTCTGGTTCGCTGACATCCAACACAACCTCTATTTTCGTGCAAAATTACCCAAAGAAAACTCAATAAACTGAATGTCACGCTCCTATTCCAAATGCAATATTGTATACAGCGTTAAAAAATATAACTTATACTGAATCGTTGGGTTTATGAGTCAGTATAAGTTATATTTTTTAACGCTGTATACAATATTGCATTTGGAATAGGAGCGTGACATTCAGTTTATTGAGTTTTCTTTGACTAGCAATCAATGCTCCACAGTGAGGGGGGCAGCACCACCAGCCAATGGGAGGGTAGGAGGTGGAGCACATTCTGTGTCTTAAACAGTGCAGTAACTTCAATTTATAGGCTCACACACAGTATAGAAGGGTCAATCCTAATGCTCAAATCTGATTCTTGAGTCAGATTCTTTTTTTGGTTCAGATAGTTTCTCTGGCATAGCTCCACTTTGGGCAGAGCCCAGAGGGGTAAACGACACTTTTGAAGGTTGCTCCAAACCTTTAATACCTTCTCCCAGCTCACACCACTGAGCCAGCTCCACAGTGATTGGCTGTTGAGAATAAATATTGTAGCCTACTCAACAGTAGGTGGTAGAAGCAATGAGGAACTACTCTAGCACATAGAGCAATAGAAAAAAAGCTCAAGCTGTCTACATCCTTACTCATGCGCACGTACACACACATGCACATTAGTGTGGGGGGGAGCGTGTAGGCTCTGAAGTGTGTACTAGGAGTTACTGGTCTCTAATGCCTCCCTGTGACATCTGTGCTGATTTATATACCAGTGAATGTGAAATTAGTGAATGTTGGGCTTAGCGAATGTTAGACATCATAAAGTGACATGTTTGAAACTATTGTGTAGAACATGTTTAGCATATCTTTCATTATATAAAAATCAATGTAATTTTTAAAGTACAGACATCCATAATAGGATTTACCAGATCAAAGCAGGCAAATTCAAATGACAAATTATTATTATTATAATACAGGATTTCTATAGCGCCAACAGTTTGCTCAGCGCTGTACATTATAATGGGAGACAGTACACGAGACAGTACAGTAACAATACGATTCAATAAACGAGGGGTTCAAGGGCCCTGCTCCCTGGAGCTTACAATCTAGGAGGGAGGGGATAGTAGTACAGGAGGAAATAGCTGTGGGGGATGGAGTGGTAGGAAGAGTGGAGGAGTTCAGTAATTAGCTGAGGGTGGGGTAGGCTTCCCTGAAGAGGTTTTCAGAGTGCGCCTAAAGGTGAGGAGAGTAG